GCCGACTCAAATGCCAATATCTGCCAGTCACGGTACTTTGCCGAGTTCACGCGAACATATCCCTCATTGGCCAGTACTCCATGTGGATGCCATTTCATCACATAAAAGTGAGGTGGACACCAGACTGACTTGGATGGTACATTTGTAATCGGTACATGGGTTGGTCTTTCTCGGCGATTAAAAACAACCGTGGGGATCCAACCCTTCGTCACAAGTCATGAGTCGACTCGCTGGGTTGCCGCCTGGGCAATCTGAACTCAGCGGCCATTCGACTTTCGATTGTCAACCCGTCTGGTGGCCCACATGACCGAACTCGGTCTTCGTCGGCGCATTACTTTATCGGATGAGTGGAATCACCATCCCATCGGGTAGCTTGACGGACAAGCCGTACAGATTCAGACGGATCCAAGCTGGGATCATGAAGTCAGTGCCGAGAATCAAATCGACTCCGGCAGGGTGAGGCATTATCCACACTTCCAATTCGTATGCCACTTCCCAGCCGAGTGTCACCTTCACGACTGCTCGTGACGTTGGCACCATTCTGTATTTACTTATTCCTTGTCTGCCGATCCGCTTATCTCGGCTGGTCACTCTTTTGAGACGCAGTTTCTTCGCAAAGTACTCACTAATCGCCGAGACATTTGCTCCGGTGTCCAACAGGATCTTGGTCCTTCGGTCGTTCACTGCCCCCAACACGAGAGCTCTCATTCTAACTCGGCGACCAAACGTCTGTGCTGACCACCATCCCAGCCGTTTCCACGGAAGCATCTTCATGCTTCTGATACGGTGGACAGCCTGGTCTGACTGCCGAGTTACACTTGCAATTGCTCGGTAGTAATCGTCTAACTCACCGAGCTCACGTTCAATTCCGTCGATTTCATACATCCAATTTCCATCCCCGCTTCGTCCCTCGGACCGTCCTGCTTCGCCTACGAAGGTGAACAAGAAGTTCGCCTCAGCTGCAGGTTCAGCAGACTGTGGCAGCCCGGCATTTTTCAACCCATTCAGTGTTGGCGGGCCGCCGAATTTAAATCACTCGGCGTGTAAAGGTCTTGAAGATCTTCTGGCACTTGAGACTTGTCTACAGAGTTCTTCACAAACGCAACCAGCTTCTCGTATTGACGAAACAGCTCGCTTTGGCCGACTTCATGGACTTGTCTGCAAAATTTGCAGCGCCGCCGACAGTAGCGGGCCGAGTGCCCCGTTCTTCCACAAGCTGCACAAGGTCTACGCTGGGAGTTGTCGCGTGACCCATCTCCACGGCTCGACTGTTCTCGTTGGTTGTACGGTCGCGGAGGTCGATTCGCCGAGTTCCCCCCAACTTCGATTTGAGCCATTCTGGTCTCCCGCCGAGTTCTCTCGGCGGTCGGGTGTATTTCCCTTATCATTGGCAACGCCGGCATCTATGTAGTCGTCGTCTTCCGCTGAGTCGTTACCTCGGGACTGACCCTCATCATCCCATTCGTCTTCGGAGTTGTATGGACTCGGCGGGTTCTGATCGAGTAGTTCTTCCCCGTTAGAGTCTGCGTCAGCGAAGGTGGCTAGGCGGTCGCGGTTGGCTGTTTTGCGACTACGCTTCTCATCTCGACGTCCATCTCGACGTTCATCTCGGTGAGGCTCGACACGTCGGCTTAGCACTTTTCGCTTATCGTCTCGGCCTTTTGCAGCCACAAGTCGATCGCGCTACTTCTTGCGCTTTTCACCAAGGATCCGCGGACAGGTCGCACTGTAAGCGACAGTAGTCCAGGAATGATTCTCTGAGTAGTTTCCAGCGTCGCTGAGGCTTCTTCGGCAGTTGCCGATACCAAGTCCTCGCCGCGCGTCCCAAGCATAGCGAGAATGGCTCGCACCAGGCGCTTTGAGGCATCCTTGTGCGCTTCATCTCGTAGATTAAACATTTGATCCACTGAAGTGATGCGTCAGAACAGTAGTGCTTGCCTTCGAGCTCGGCCATCTTGTCGCGTGAAGCGGGGGTCTGAATTTCCAGGTACTAAGTCGAGTCTTCTTCTGCCGCGTCGAAGCTCAGGTGTCGAACGTAGTCCTTCACAGTCTCTTCGCGGTTTCCTGTCAAATCGAACGGGCCATTATCCTCTTCATCCTCCTTGTGGGCTTCAGCTACGTCTGCAGCGTCATACAGTTCACAGTAGCGACCTGTAGTCCGCTGTCCGCGACTCGGCGCCCGCTGAGTCAGAGTGATCTTCGCTGGAGTCAGCATGTGGGAGGCTTCGAAGAATAGAGTGCCTTGCGTAGCTCGGAACGCTTCGTGTCGCTTCGTTTCCGGAGTCTTCGGCAAAGGAATTTTGCTTGGGTCTTCGCCAAGTGCCGTGAACTCGGCTACTCGGCTGTAAACCGGCTTCGTTCCACCAGGGGCATTCTCCAATCCAAACGCCCCTCTCAACTTCTTCTTCCATTGCCAGAGCTCAGCTCCGCCACGGGTCAGACTCCAGTCGGACAGGATGAGGCTGTTTGGTCGGCTATTGCACCAATAGCCCATCGCCTTTAGCAGCAACACAGTTTCTTCCACCAACTGATTGATGTTGGCTGCACGCACCGGTTGCGTTAGCTCGGTCCCCAACATCGGCCACTTCGCCTGCGCCATCGCCACAGGCGCAAACATCATCATGCACTCCGATCTCGTCCTCATCGCTTCGTCAAGTCGAGCCAACACGTTATTGGCGCTCGGCGTATCGACGTTCCTCGTCGCTTTCGAAATAAGGGGCGGACGGTCCCCTTGAGCAACGCCATGTTCATGTTGATCTTCTTCATCGTCCGCACCTTCGTCGAGCTCGGCGGATAAGTTGCGCTCGACAGGAGGTGGGGCTCCCATGCGTCCCATCTGCAGCGTCAACTCTTCCACCTCACCCGACGGTAGTCTTCGTTTCACCGAGCTCAGCGGTTTCGTTCCTCTCTTCATACTCTCCTTCACTTGCATCTCCGTTCTCGCTCTCCTGGTCTTGGCCATCATCGTCGAACTGGACGGTTCTTCCCAACCTCCATTGTCATGGCGATGAGTCGTTGATCCTCCAGTCGTCGCTGGGCTTCCCTCGCTCGGCGTTGCTGACCCCTTGACCATCTTCGCTCTTCTCTTCTTCTTACCTTGGTTAGCTGGTACCTACAAAAGCAAGCACACACCCCTGTTCCCGGGTCGCAGCACCAGTTGTAGAACACACAAATACCGTCAGATATAGATTCCTTACACAAACCACAACAAATCGCCGAGTCAGGTCGGCGCTTGTATGGCCTGCGCAGAGGGTGGTCCCCTCGCGGTGCTGCCCAGCCGGGACAGACGAGTGGCTCGCTTCCACTGAGTTTCGACTAACCAAGTCCGAGCACTTCCGAGGCTCCGCCGAGTTTGCTCGGCAGAGCTCGCTCACAAACCCTGTGCCCTCCACCAAAGGATGGACGACGGCGCGCGAGCGCTTTTACAGGTCACCGAGCGCAGAGGCTGCTCAGCTAGAAGTGTCATGGCACCCGGGCTATCCGACTTACCGGCCCGCTAAGTTCGCGGGGTTTTCTTTCGCGCGTAGCGAGTCTTTTGGCCTACCCGCAGCGACTTAATCTCTTGGCGCTACCAGTCAATACCCTACAAGCTATGCCTCTCGAGTATCGACGGCAGGCATAATCCAGCCCTATGCAGGGACTTACCGGAACAGTGTACACGTGTCTTAGACTAGGAAAATTCTGCTATGTTATCTTCTGGGAGCCTTTTCGGCTCCCCCTATTTAATCCAATTCTTCTCATACAAATATCTAGTGAAATGTAGTCGTTTCGGATCTTTACCGACCCTTCCGCTGGGTTCAGGCGACCGTTGAACTCAGCAGCCATCCGGATACCATCATCCGGACAGATCGCTTAGTACTTACCGTGATCCTTTTTTCCTAAGATCTGAATTTTTGAGACCGAGTCGATTCTTGGTCTAAAGTAGGTTGATGTATGGCAGAATCCGGAAATCCCTACACCACAATGGCCCCTGCGTTGGGCCCGATAAACACGCACGGAAAACGGGCAGTTCTCCTATGAGCAGCCGATAAAACGATGGTTTCCACTCCGGTTCGTTACTCGTTCAGACCTCCCATGAGATAAAGCGTAGTTTTGAACAGCATGAAGAGCATGTGAAGCAGTATCGAAAGTCACTCCGACTTGAATAGTGTTTTCCTTATCGCCGCTGTCCAATCCATCAGCGATGTCGTCGATGTCCTCCGTCATTTTGCGTCCCTCAGTCGTAACAAGTGGTTTTGGGACTTAAAAGTGTGCGATTTGGGTCTTCATACGAATGGCGAGCATTAGCATACAACGGGTTTTGGGGTTTGGGCCCGGCCCACCTTGTTTCAGCCATTCAATTGACTGGACACACATTGTGATCCCTAAATTCTTCACTTACTGACGCGGGTTTCACCCGGTACACCTACCGGCGATACTGACCTCACTTTGCTCACGTTTTGGCACACCTTTAACTTTCTGTCACAACTTTCATATACCCACTCACATTTTGTCATTTTTCCGTTTTAGAACTACTGTCAGTGTTATAGGGAGCAACGGAGGACGAATCAAAATTCAACGCAGAGCTGAATTTTGAAACCAGTCGTTTGGAGCTATCCTGTCTGGTGTCACTTTCTGTGTTTCTTAGCTGGTTGAGACGTTCCAGCCCTTTAATAATAGAGAGCTTTAGTTTCTGGAATAACTCAGGCTTTGGAATAAGAATTTTCTTCGTCCAGAAATATATTCCAGTGGAATAGCGAAGGGTCGCGTTATTCCACTGGAACAAATTAAAGGAATATCGATCGGTAATCTATCCGTCATTTATTCAGATTTTATTCAGATAATCGCTATTCCAAGCCTTGCGTTATTCCAGAAACTAAAGTTCTCTAATAGTTACAGCTGGTCTTTGCTTAATTAGGTAATACAAATTTGTAGAAAATCTATTAATTGAGCAAAATGTTATAATAGTGGGTTATAATAAACACTTCATTAAAATTACTCAATTTATTTGTGGCCGAATTATGGCGTCCCATGGTCGACGGGCCGTGTTATCGATGACGACGCGCTTCTGCCTGCCTCATGAAGGCATGGCAACACTCGACTACCTCAGCAGGTATCACAAGCACAAAGCTATCAGCATTCTTCATCTCACACCCAATATTCTTTCTAACGATCAGAAATCCTTTTTTTTAATAATTGTCTCGACTGTAGCGGCTCGGCTGCCATATTATGCGACTCCAAGAGCCCTTCGCTGACCGTCGTCACGTGTCAGCACGTTGCATGCCCCTGGTTGTTCCCCAAGTATTTCACAGCCACGTGGGACTGGCTGCAGTTCGTGAACGAGGACCACGTGCGTCATTCACTGCAGCTTTTGGCGATAAATGACTCCAATAGCAGGCCGGTGGTGTTGCTGGAGCTGCCACTGGCCCCCCAGGTGCACATACACGAGAGTCGAGATCTAGCGTTGTTGACTCTGGCAGATTCCGCTGCTTTTGAGACCTGGCAACAGGCAGAACAGGAGCTTGGAGTGCAGACTCTGGCGCTGCAACAGACGCCTTGTGAACGTGGAGATACTGTCGTCTTCTCTGGCCACAGACAATTAGCCGGTGAGGAGCAGGAGGAGGAAGGCTATCAGATTCCCAAGACGGTAACGGGACATTTTGTCGGACGCAGTTCTGGTGGACAAGAATTCGCGTGGAGTCAAGAGCTGCTGGAGGAAGGAATGTGTGGCGGTGCAGTGGTAGGAGCAGTCACGGGTCAGTGCGTGGGCATCGTTGAGGGAATTGTTCCTACCATTGTACAGGGGGACGATGAACCTCCGAAATACGATAGAGAGACCCATGCAGCGTGGCAGATGCGACAGGCTCTGGCGGGTCATGTGGCTTTCATCCCAGCGAGTGATGTAAGGAAGTTTATTGAGGAGCCACGTGACTTTTTGCTTACAGGAATGGAGCTACCATCGCATATGTGAGCTGAGAGAAAGTGGAGAGACGAGGTTCAAGCACTAGAAGTATGAATGACCGTTAACTGAATGATAGATTCAACATATTATGACGCGTTTTGAGTGAAAGATAATCTGTCTGTGCAAGCGATAATACGTACCTACGTGACAGCTCTCTTGTTAGCAAAAGCCGAACAGGCGACAGCGAGTGCCTGGATGGGGGCTAGAGGAGCTGCGTAGTCCAGCGAGAAGCGAGTTTTCGACACTTTGCCGAAGCGTAGAGCTGTGATTTCCTCGTCTTCGCCGTTCTCATTCGTTTCACTCGTGACCAGCAGGAAATTCTTCTTTGAAGCGACCTTCACGCGGCCCTGAAAGTTCAACGTCCATGCTCCAAGTTCCTCATTCCACGAAGGCTGCTTCGTATCGAAGACAAGCAAGTCTTTCTGGTGCTCCTCTTGCTCCACTGCGCCATACGAGATTTGCTTCATGGAGGCTGTACGCTCACCTCTGAGTCGAGCCTGTTTGACACGCATGGAGCGTGAATGGCCTTCAACGTCGTCGTCGTCCAACCAGCTAAGAGCCCCATCTGTAGCCATCTCGAAGCGCAAGTCCAACTCGTCCAGCGTAATGTTCCTCAGCCGTTCAGTGATCGACATACCGCGCGATTGCTGCTGGCGGTTAAATCGATCCGAAAGACTGGAGCTCCTACCGAGTCGTACCTGGTGTGTGTTGAATACGGCGCCATCGCTACCCATTCCAGATCGCTGCTGACTCAGAGACGATGGCTTGTATGGAGCTTCCAGACCGTCCTCATTGTGCTCAGTCACAGACTTGGACACGACGCACTTCAGCGAATTTGGCACACGACCAAGAACGTTAGCAGTGTAGACCAGGAACGCGAGCTCGTTGTCGTGATTGGTGCCGATGTGGTGATCAAACAATGTGAACTCAGTGCCCAGGAAGCTCGGCTCGAGACGACCCAAGTACACAGCAGATTCCTCGCTTTGTGGAAGCTCACGCATTGTTCGCAGATGAGAGTCTCGCAGTGTGTGGAAAACGAAAGGCCCGGTACCGTCACTACCACACGAGGCAGCAAGCAAGAACTCTCCTGTCTCCTCTCGGTGGAAATTTAGGGCAGTGACGAACTCCCCTCGTAGTCGCTCAACACACCCGCGTACCAACTCGTGAGGGTTCTCACCTTCATTGACCCGAGGAGGTCGATAGAATTGTTGTTTATGTTGGTGAATGAAAGCTCGCGCTTGTACGACGTCCTTGTCGCTCGCGTAAACGCTTAAGTCACCTGCAGCCTCAAGTGATTTGAAGTGAAGAGTGTGGCGAGATTTTCCTGCTCGACGAAGAGCCTCCAAAGTTTCCTGGAAGTTCATCTCGAGACAGGATTCGCCGTTGATTGCAGTGAGGACATCGCCAACTCGAATCATCCCGCAGCGTTTAGCTGGCCCTTCGTCGCCTGCTGCGTTGATAGCTCGAAATCCTTTTACGACAGCTTGACGTCCGTACCAATCGGTCTCGAGGTCCAGCCCCACAGGACCGCGAGCAAACGTGACATCATACGAATCATAGTTTCGCTTTGCTGCAGAAGAACTGGGCTTGTTGGGGCGTGACGATGGACTTCCAAGCGACAGCAGCCGGTCTAATAGAATGCCAGCGAACCCCTTGGCCTCCCCGCTCCTCGTACTCGAGAATGTCTGTCGACTCAACGCTGTTGATGTAGCGTTCGTGGGGGTGTTATTACGGAGCATAAGAGACGGAAAATTCGCGCCTCCAATTGAACTGGAAGGATCACAACCAATGCGAGGCATGCCATTCCCTAGCATTGGTTTAATGTTGTTAGTGCTCTCGCCGTCATCGTCACTATCAGGTCTGCTCACTTGATCCGGAAGCAGTAGCGCTGGAGGCGTCGCACGTCTAGGCGAAGAAGTGCTTTTTCCAGTTATTTCTTGCCTTATTTTCTCTTTACGTGGAGAAAAAGTGACAAACTCCCCCCAGTCTTCGTCAGGATGATCAACAGCGACCACTTTCAGTGAAGTTGCGGCTACAGCAGAAGCCGAAGAACCTTCGGAGCTATCAAGATAGCTACATGCTGCAGACGTCAATAGTAAGTTTCCAAGCCAAGGATCTGCAGCACGCGCAAGATTTAGAGCAGACAACGGATCTAGTTCGCTGGTAGCTTTAGCTGAGAGGTTTGCTGCTCGACTAGGATAAGACGGACGCTTCTCCTTATGTTTGGCGTTGGCTATCTTTTTTTCAGTGTTCGATGGTGACTCGGGTTTCGAATCGAGCTTGGGCGCCATCGCTGCTCCAACTTCTTGGTGGTACTGCTGGAACGTGTCCAGCGTGAAGAACGACATGCCAAGGAGATGCCCAATCTTCTCAACCTCCACGTGCGATGTAAACGGCGACTTGAGTACAATAGATTGCAAGGTTACAATGAGCTTGTGCTGGACTTGGTAGTAGTTTCTTTGCTTTCGTCAAGTCTAATTGCAGACAGAAACTTCCAACTACATGTATTAATAATTCTCATCCGCTGAAGAGGTTCGTTTGATTGTCATTACGTGTTTTACCGCAAATGCTCCAGGCAAGTCAGACGGAACACGCAATAAAACGCCCAGCATTTTATAAATAGACAGCCTCCTCTGAGCTGATAATTTGCGACAGATGGAAATTTAAAAGTGAGATTGATTGACTTAGATGCAGTTCATGTCTACCATTGCCCTTACTATTAATATTCCTCCTGTAGCGTCGGTCTTGACTCTGATCCATTTCACATACTTCAAATAGCCCAGATCCACCATCACTATTAATAATCTGGAAAAATGTCTGTTCATCATATCCCATCTCTCATCTGAGAAAGCACATCACCACAGTCTCGCAGATCCACCGACAACGCATCTAAAACACCTTGTTTTGCAGGATAACACTTAAGCTTTGTTTTCACTTGGCATTTGTAAGAGCAGCCGGGGGGGGATTACCCGGCTCTCCTGTGGAAATGCATTATTTAATGTAAAGAGGTCGTTACCAGCCGCGCTTCGCTTGGCTGGGGCTCGCTTCGCTTGGCTGGGGCTCGCTTCGCTCGCGATTAATAGATTCTATCACCTGGGAAGTGCCATGCGCGGCTCGCTGGTGAGCTCGGCGCTTGGCCCGCCTCCGCAAATACCGCGCGGCCCTGCTTCGCGGGCTCCCCGCGCGGGTTTGCTGCGGCTACGCGACCTCGCACCCGCTCGCCTTAGTTGGCGCCATAGCTGCGTCGCCCCTCCCCGGAAGGTGCTATTATGCGTTTGAGGGTGCTGCACACCGTTTCGAACGGTGTTTTTGCAATTTTGTCATCCGCACCACATTCAGTGGTGGAAGGGGTCACTAGTACACATACCCGACGATCATGTTGCAGTGCTAAGGGGTAAGGTGGAGTGTCAAAAGGTTCTCGGATCGTATTTGCGTTACCTGTCCAGTTTTATCGCTGAAGTATGTTTGCGCGGATCATAAAATTGCAGAGAACAAAGGGGTGTCAGTAGTGATCAACATCACGAGTTATTGGAACGTAAGCAGTTTATCGTTGTGGGTATACCGGGCTATCTTCTCAGCATCAATGTTTACTCTGGCAAGATCGCCATTATCCACGACTTTCAGGAATCGTTCAGGCGAATCGATCCGATTTGCGTTGCGACAAAGTAAAAGCGGAGTGAGATTGGTGTTACTTTCTTCGCTCGTAATCTTTGTCCTGCACTCTCGTGAGCCACACAATCGATTTGCCCACGCTGAGCTGGAGGTCCAGCTCCGGAGCAGCTCCTCGACGCCCACGCACAACACTTTGCAATTTATGCACGGCCCCGACTCTTTCTGTGACGGGGTCACACAGCACCTTGCGCTAGAGGAAGTTGGCTTCCGAGTGTATACAAACTCTCAGTGAACGGCAGTTCACAGGTCCCCTCTTGATCAAAAGGGAGCGAAGTGACCAATTTAAGGTTGTAAACTGACTATAGTTATGGGTACGCTTAGATTGAGCTCAATACAAACTATAAATCACCTATAGAAAAGCAACGTCATCAGCCAATGGTTGGCTTTGGTACCTTGAACCAAATAACCCGAAGTGTGACGTGTCACACTTCATGTAACTAGGGGTACACTTAGGGTTACGTACCTCGTTACATCCTCCCCCACTTAGGTTCGATTTACCGACCAATCAGAATGAGGAAGTGTACGTCACAAACTTTCATTTTCAAAGTCGAAAAACATCGACTTGGCCGCGCAAGCGCGGCGGAGGCTCACTTCACAGTTAGAGCCTCGAGCAGCAGATTGAGTGCTCTTCGTCTTGGTCTCCACATCGACCGTTGCCATGCCCCGTGGTACTGTGAAGAGCGGTGCGAGGACAGGCGCCAAGGCTGTTGCCGGAAAGGCGCAAGCCAAGAGCACTAAGCCTCACGGCAAAGGCTCGGCACTCCAGGAGACTACTAAGGTGGCCTCCGAGGCGATCGGCTCGGCTGGTGACGCGGAAGTGGGCAAGCGAACGAGCAAGCGCCGCAGTCCGTCACCCTCGGCCTCCCCAGAGAACCGTCCGAACCCTCGGTTCGCTGAGCGTGAGTTCGACTCAGGCGGTGAGGACGAAGCCGAGTCCGGGAGCACGCACGATGCTCCTGTGGGCTTTACAGGAGGGCACAGCCCAGTGACCAGCAAGCACAAGGACGAGAGCGTGCAGTCGCTCGCTAGTGATCACAGTCCCAGGACGTCGGTGCGCTCTGAGAGCCCGGCCGTCAAGGATAAGGGCACTCCCAAAGCTGGTGGCGACGAGGAGGAAAAACCTCGCAAACGTCTCTCGCTTGCCGAGGGTCTTGCGCGTGCTAAGGCCGCTAAAGCCGAATGCACCAAGTCCTCTAAGAAGCGTACGGCTTCGAAGTTTCCACTCTGCGAGGAGAAGGAGACTGGGTACTCCCATCGGGGCCTCTTCGATTCCTCGGATGAAGAGGACGAGAAGGAGGAGGAAGAGGGTGTATTCCTGAGCCCCTGGAGATCTCTAACGACCTCGACCATCAGCCGGAGGGCTTCCGCGTACACGTGGGAGTTCGGTGGTGGCACCCGTCAGTCAGGGAGCTGCCATCAACGCAAGAGGGTATTGGCCTCCCGAGGAGAGCTCTGGGGCTGACCTCCTCCTCGAGCTTCTCGTCGCTCCTCGTGGCCTTGTTGGCGACCACATCTCTAGGAGCGTTTACGAACGTACCATTGTCCAGAAGGAGCAGTTGTTTGTTGACAACTTGGAGGCGGCTCGGTCTCGCGCCACACCGTATCCCCCTAAAGGACTTCACGACTTGGCGTAAGAAGCCCGAGAACCGGAGTAGTCTCTACCCTCTTTAAGGCTACCCCTGGGTTCTTCCCGAGAACGGTCCCAACTGGAGCTCTTGTGAAGACATGTTTTGGGCTTGAGTGGAGTATCTCAAATACTCACCCTCGGAGTTACGGGAACGCCATGAAGATCACCTGCTGTCCCGCATCCTGGACCAGCGTGATCTTCGTGTTCGGCTTGCCCACATGGTTAGCAAGCGCATGCTGCCAAGGAACATTCTGAAGCGCGCGGCTTCTAGCGCTCACGATGAGCGCGCGTACGGAGTGTCGTCAACACCGTACCCCGTTCGGGCAAGAAGCCTCGGACTACTTATGAAGTTGCCCCCGCTTCTGTTCCCAGATTGCGACAGCCTTCGGGCAGTTAATCAGGAGCCGTTTAATCGTCTTCCACGAGTTCTCGGAGTGGGCATAACCCCTCCACTTTACGAGGCGCTGTCGCTTACCGCGACACCGTTGCTCCTGGAGGATTCGCTCCACGTGGTAGTGGACTTCTCCATTCCGGTCAAGCAGGGGCGGACGTGCCCTCGTACGAGTACGAGTACTCGGCGCCTCGCGAACGCTGCTCTCGTCCGGGTGCTTCTCCTGCGGGTCCGACACAGGGTCCTGAGGTTGCCCGCCTTCGCATCCTCGTGCTTGAAATTGCACTTGGCCTTGGGACTGGCGGGGAAGCTGCCTCCCAGGCCGGGAATCAGGTCGAGCTCGCTCGTCTTGCGGGCCGCCTGGACCTGTTGGATCGTGAGGTCGCGCGCCTGCATCTGCGGGTGGACCGGCGGACCTTTTCGTCCGATCTTGACGAGGCCTTCCGCATGATCCGACGTATCGAGACTCTGCTGCCACGTCCGGAGACGCTTTCGGCTCACTCCCAGTCGTACGCGTATGGTGCGTCCCGGTATACTCAATGTACTCGGCGTATGGCTCCGGGGTCTGTTCGTACGGAGCCCCTCCTGCGTACGGTCTTGACCGCAGCTTTACCGTTCAGACCGAGGCTTGGGTGCCTGCGCCGACGCCTTTGTCGACGTCTGTGGCCGGCCCTTGCTTCGAGGAGCTGTGCCAAGATGGGTCTGCGAGTCAGCAACCCCCTGCGGGTCAAAGTACCGCTTAAGACGTCCAACATAGAACGTCGGGTGCGTCGTCATTGACTTAGGCAGGTCGATGGTGTACGACACACCATGTCTGGCCAGGACTGCAAATGGTCCGATGAAGCGGTGCTTCAGCTTGTTGCTGCCGACAGAGCTGACAGTGTCTAGCGGTAGGCTCCTCATGTCTAATAGCACTAAGTCCCCCACTTTAAATACACTTAAATTTCCTCTTCCACGTTTATCTGAGTACTCCTTTTGTCCGTCCTGAGCCGCTGCCACGGCATCGCGGACCCTGCTGAAAACGCTCAGCTTGGTATCCACAAGGATCCCACTTGCTTCCGCAGCGAAACCGGTCTCACATTCGAGACCTGGGAGGAAAGGGCTTTCCGAGCCTCTCCCCCATTTAGAATAGAGGCGTTGGTGTCTGCTATAAGAGTGAGAGGCACTCTGGGGTGACGGAAGCAGTTCAAGTAGAAAGGCATGAGCCCCGTGGACGCGTGCCCAGCGTTATTGAGTGCAAACTCAACAACTGGAAGCTGCGCCGACCACGTACGTGGGTGCGTCCGCGCACACATGTCCTCGATCACTCGATTGACGCGCTCTGTATGGCCGTCTGTCTGTGGATGGCCCGCAGTGGACATCTGCAGACGAGTCTCCAGTAAAGGAAACAGCGTTTTCCAAAACCGCAGCCGTGAACCGCGGGTCTCGGTCCGAGATAATCGTCTCCGGGAGACCGTGACGGCGGAACACGCCATCAACGAACAACCTTGCGGTTTGTTCGCCCGTAACGGTAACGAGAACTGGAGCAAGATGTACCATCTTGCTCAGCCGACACACGAGCACCAAAATTCCGGCGTTGCCGTGTTCGTCGGCGGGAAGCCCAAAGATGAAGTCAAGACTCATCGAATTCCAACAGTCAGCCGGTGCGGGCAGGCTCT